TCTTTCTTTCTTTCTTTCTTTCTTTCTTTCTTTCTTTCTTTCTTTCTTTCTTTCTTTCTTTCTTTCTTTCTTTCTTTCTCTCACTTCAGAAATGTCTCCAAAGTGCATGAGAGCCAGTGTGACTTACAGTATGCATAATGTGAAGTGATAACCACTTATTTAAAAATTAAATAATGTGTAAATTTTACTACTTTATCACTGAAGTTTTTAACATACAGATACATCATTCTCTGTCACGCATGTATGGGGTGGCGCCATGCTAAGGTTTAGAAATACAAATTCTAAAAGCTGGCTTTAAATGAAAGTTACCTTCCGTTCAGGTTCTCCCATGTTTCTCCAGATAAATCTTGGTGATGGGATTAATCTGATGGGTTATAGTGAGTAGGGGGAGTTTGGGACTACAGTGTGGTCATCAATATTCTTTCATGGTTTGAAATACTTCATACTATCTCAAAAGTATCCTAAAAATATCAAATGATCAATTAGTCAATTTTCATGGCTTCCTTGTGGGAGGTAGATCAGTTTTAATTCCTTGATTACCTTGGGGTGGAAATGCCATGTAAGACTTTCAGAGTCTGACAGCAGGGATACTATGGACAGCCTCAAGAAGGAGATGCAGGCAGTTGGTGTCCATCCTTCATATTGATTTCTGCAGACCCCACCCTACCCCAAATACTTCAGGTACTGATAAAGCTCTTGTGATGCAAACAACAGAAACATGACTTGGCCTAGATTAGTCCCAAAGAAGACTCTATTAGGTCTTAAAACAAAATGTCTAGAAGGAGGCTTCCAACATGGCTGAATTCAGAGCTCAACTGATATTATTAGATTTCTCTGACATGTGCATGTGCGCACGCACACATGCACACACACAGTTCCTACCAGACAACAGCACCAACACCAATGTGTAAAAGGAAGTTTACTTGATAGTTATGGTGGAAGATCCTTAGGGGAAATCTGACAGCTCAGCTGGAGTGATTAGGGAGCTGGGGCTTTAAGACCCAAGAAATAAGCCAGGACTCCAAGGAGGGTGGTGGAGAGAGGACACTGGAAATTGAGTTCCACCATGTAAGCCGTAATTCAGTCAATCATGCCAGTACTCATATAAGGAAACCCCAATAAAAACTCTAGGCACCAAAGCTTGAGCAAGCTTTCCTGGTTGGCAATACTCTCTGAACATTGTTGTATTTTGACACTGGTGGGGAGAGCTGAAGATGATGGATTTTTCATATCCGAAGCCCTCCCAGATCCTAACCTATGTATCTCTTGTCCTCACTTCCATCCTTTTTATTGTAATAGAACCATAATAACAGGTATAGTGTTTGCCTGGGTTGTTCTAGCTAATTTTCAAACTTGGAGTTGTCTTAGTTACTTTTCTCTCATTGCTGAGACAAAATACCCAACACCCCCAAGTTAAGGGAGGAGAGGTTTATTTAGCTCACAGTTTGTAGAGGTTTCAGTCCATAATCGGCTGCCTCCAAGGCAGGGTGGCACATGGCAGAGGGGCGTCATCAAGGAGAACCACTTCATGGTGCCCACACAGTAACAAAAACAACAAGGGACTTTAACAGCATCTTTCTCCCCTTTTATCTTATTCAGACTACTGGGATTAGGGGGCTGCCAAACCAATCCTTCACATGTAGTTGTTTAGTAATCACACCCTTTAATTTTAGCATCACACCCTCTAGATTCAGCCACCTATTATGCATGAGCCTTTGCGGGTACATCTAGACCCAAACCATAACAGAGATGATCCTAGAAACCTCTGAATTTGTAGCTGGCTGGGTTGAAATAAAGCGGTCCAGTGGACACCCAGACTTGCAGCTGATGTCTGGGTTGAGGCCAGGCTCATGGGGCAGTTTGATAGCTCATTATAATTGGTGTCAGAAGTTTTGGGTAGATTGGCAGTTTGGAGGACTGTGTTTCTGACCTTGAGTTTGCTTAATCCCAATACCTATCAACAGAGAAAAGCAGAATCTGAAAGAAAAAAAATACTGGATAGACAAAAAATAAAACATCAACCAAAGTAAAACAGATACCCATCTATCTCCCTTTTCAAGGTAACTCACTGCACAAGGAACCTGGCACGTGTGATACCATCTCACATCATCTCATCTGTTAAGCCCTTTAGGAAATGGTTACATGAACCTGTAACATTGGCAGCAAGTTGTATTTCTTACCTTCCCTAACTACCAGTCCTGAGATTTAAAAAGTTATTGATAATGAATGAATGTACTACTTATATTTTATATTTACTTTTGGCTAAACTTTGATTTTTTTAACCCAAATCAAAGAGTGATCCAGAATATAAGCTTTTAAAGGACAGGGACCTGTTAGAAAACTGCCAGGTGTCAAGTTGGCCAGCTGGGGCAATGAGCCAAGCAGTCTGGTCTGTATGCATGCATTGTATTAGTGTAGGAGAGAGGCCAGTGAGAGAAAGAAGGGGTTGGCTTCCCCACTGTTCCAGCTTCTCCAGGAAAGGCACTAGGTGATGGAACAGAGAGGGAAACTGTCTCACTGGTGTGGAACACTTACTCTGCACCCCTCCTATGAGGCTCTCTAGTCAAAGGCTTTCTAGTTGGCCATGGTGAGACCTAAAAGATCACATTTGGTTTCAGAGTCAAGACTCCTCAAGACTTAGTTCTGGTAGCTCCCTAATGCATTTCAGTATCTCAAACAGGGCTAGGCACACAGTTGGTGTTCTGTGAGCTGTTGTTTTTATAGATGGTGATGCAGCTGGGGGAGTAGAAGCACTGCAGAGACTCCAGGGCTATTCTGATGGCCCCATCTTACCAAATGTTGGAGCAGCTGGCTCCAACCTTCATGAGTTCCAGCAACGCATCAGATGACTGGTCCAGCCAGGTCTCCAGCAGCACGAGCATGGTGACAGTGGGATGTTGGCTGCAGTAGGAAAGCTGATGAAGGAGCTGACAGGATAACAAAAGTAAAGGAATGAATGAATGGTTACACGAGGCTCCTAAACAGCCCTCTTGTGCTAACTGTGTGGCCAGGTAACATTATAATGCTCCACTCTCATTTGAGGAAAGCAGATTAGGTGATAAAATTTATAACAACTCTATGCAACTCCTGCTATTTGGCCTTTGGGCCCACCCACAATGTCGTGGTCACAGTACTCTGTGTTCCCCATGGTCAGCAGAAGAAACGTCCTCCTGTCTCTAACATTGGCTACTTCTCATTTAAAGAGGGGGCTCTGCTGATCTCTGCCTGCTGCTCCCCCATCTGTCCTGACAGTTTGTGCATTTGCCCAAATTCACAGCTATAATTCACAGCTTTACTCTGCGACGTAGGATGGCTTTCGTGTTCTGTGTCAACTCATTGAATTAAAGGGATTAAAGAGATAGCATTTCTAAATAAGAAAAGCCTCTTACATTGAATGCTTCCTGAAAATTTGCATATTTTCATGTCATTGCTTTATAAACTATTACCAGGAAGTTAAATCATTATAGTCATATAAACCATACGATGAAGTGGAATTTTTTCTCTAATGAATTTGTTTTTAAAGAAACAAAGATTGTATTCAAATGTTTCAAAGATGTTTTCTGTGATCCTGTATTATTTAAAACTCATCCATTAAACATCTGATAAATAGGTCTATTACTTTTATTAAAGCTGATTAAAAACTCATTTCAGGAGGATGGAATGAATTATTACACAATGATTTCATTGCGATACATCTTTTTAAGTGTCCAGTTCACAAAGAAACTGAAACACAATTTTCTCTGCAAATTGATAGTGGAACAACCATTCGTGTTCATGTGTGAGCTCAAGTCTGTCTTTGATCTTATCACATTTTTGGTGGTAGAGGAGATGGAGTTGGCGCCGCATTATTATTTTTCTAGCACAGAAAATTATGCCAGAAAATAAATCATGTTCTGGGTTGTCATAATGGCCTTAGCAGTTATGACAGGAAAAAAGAATAGTTACAGCTACCCTTCAGTGCACAGTGAAATAGTGAACAATTTGTTAAATATCCCCGGAGTCAATTAAACTGGCATATGATCAGTTTGGTGGCTGTCAAGCCTCAAGGGTAGCCAATTAGAATTCACCAAAAATGAAAATGGATGAATGTGGGAAACCAGTGTTAGATTTATGGAGAGAAGAAGCAAATGTACACTGAGCCAAAAATAACCTGGGTGGACATTCTTTAAAGGAGGTCAGGAAGCCATGTTCACAGTGATTTGAATGTTTTCTCTGTGATATTTTAAGCCATTACTACAAAGAAATTAAATTAGTTGGATTTAGTCTATACAGGAGGAGATAAAAACTCTGGAAATTGTAGCCATTATTAATTTTGCTAAAGAAGCAGCCTTGCACGAAGCATCAGAGTGATCTTTCTTTTCTTCTGCATTTAAACTACAGATAAACACTACAGATTGCTACAAATGATTGCTAGTGAAATGCTGAGGACTGTATAGCAATTCCCTTTAAAATCAGATATGCAATTGTCAAGATGTGTGAACAGTCTAATGATGGATGTTCGTTAGTTCGGTGCTGTCAGGATGAGTTACTGCTCCATGTCTCTGATACTGATCCTGTTTTTTGCAGTCATGATTGAGTTGTTAAGGAAAAAAAGCATTTCACAGAGCTCTGCCCAATTGTTTCCAAAACAGCACCAACTTGAAGTATCATTGGCTTGCTCTGCAGCAGCCAAACCCACAAAACAAATAGGTTAGATCTATCCCAGAGTCTTCTGCAGCAATAAAGGGAGTCGCCCTCCTTAGAGCAAGGTGCAATGTTCCAACACAGTTATTCTTATTGGAACAGACTAAAGAATTTACTTCAAATGAGGTTGTTGGTTGTCCCATGGAAGCTATGTCAAAATAAATATTCAACAACTCTTCAGAGCTGTAATTTGTTCATTCTCCCATGAAACATTGGTGACCTGTGAACCCTATAAACCTGACTTTGTTTAGATGGAAGGAAAAATTCTTTCACTACAGAAAAACTTGTATGTAGCTTATGTAGGGTGAAATTAGTTCTTTGCAAAGGGGATATTTTCATATGCCAGATGTCTGGAAGCAATAGCCCTCTGTTACTTGTTTACAATAAATTTTATTAAGGGAAAAATTCCAAGTGACAGATGTCACCCATGAATGTCCACATCAGTTTAATGAAGTTGTGGTTCTAAATATATCACTGTAGGGTAACTATTTAAATGGAAGGCCAAAACTCCTACTGGGTGTGATTGAAAAACACAGTGAATTTAAAAAAATTACAGTAAAAGGCTCATTGCCATTAATCCCCTTCACTTTAACCATGCGCATCATTCTGGCCACTTTCTGAAGCATTCTGGCGCTCTTCTCTCATGAGAATCTTGAGTTGAGCTGTCGTAGTTGCTTCAACGTTCTGAATTGATTCAAAGTGTGGACCTTCCATGGTCATTTTGATTTGGTGAAGACCCAGAAGTTTCGCAGCACCAGATCTGGTGAGTATGGTGGGTAAGGAGACACTGATATTTTCACAAGCCTGCCTTTCTGTTGGGTCACATGCAGCAGCAGCATTCACCGTAGTTTTGGTTACACCCAGTAAAGACATGCAGAGGACCTCCAGAATGGCTTCAGAGAGTAGGAACAATGACGGGATGGAGTGCTCAAAGCGAGAGGGCAGATGTGGTGGACGAACTAATGGTCGACTTGTGACACCCAGCTGAACTGAATCAGTGTGGTCTAGGCAAGGAAGACCCACCTGAGGATTGTTGCCAAAAGCCATAAAAAGAGAACTGGAGGGGAAGATTGAGGGCTCTTGATTTTCTTGGAGAAGCTCCCTGCGGGTGGTTTTCCTGATGCAAACTCTGCTGTTCTCAGGGTTGGAGGAGCTTGGGTCCTCGCTGCCCTGGGGGCGGCTGCTGTTCTCCTCAGGGGAGCGCTGGTCTTCACTGTGAACATTGCCTCTTGGCTCCAGTGCAGATCCCTTAGCCTGGTGGTGCAGACCCTTCATCCCATGGCACAGACTTTCTGGCTTGCACCACTGGCCTTTGGGCCTTCCTGGTGCAGATCCTCATATAGACAAACATGAGACACTGCCGTGGGCTCTAGGCCACTGGCTGGACTCATAGAGGACACTGCCTTGGGCTCCAGGCCTTCAGCTGGACTTGTGGGGCACATCACTGTGGGATCCAGGCCTTTGGCTGGATTCATTGGGTCTCTAATGTGCAGCTAGATCTCTTACACTCCTCGTTCATAATCCTATAAACTATGTGTCCTGTGTTAAATTTGTTTCCCTTGCAAACTCAGACTACAACAGCATATTTTGAGCATATTAATAGCAATGTGTCTTTTACTGTAGTATTCAAAGTAAACATTAAACATATATTTCAATCACAGTTTGTACAATTTGCTAGGATGTGATACTTTTTAGATTTGTGGGAAGAGGCACTGTAAAGTTTGCATAAAAAACATATATCTCATCCTTCTTCATACCCAAATGTTCCTGAACATAAGAGGGTGCTTGAACGTAATAGATAGTCAGAAGCCTTGATAATGAAAATGATGATCATCACAATTCAGTGCTTTCTATGGAGTTGTTTGGCTAACTAATGACAAAAATTAAGGTGACTGCTCTGAGAAGTGTGAGCAAGCCTGGACTATGCCTTCAGGAGCAACCAAAACTTTCATTGAAAACTTGGAAATTTATTCTTTCTTCCTAAAAATAATCATTATGTCTCTAGTAGGTATAAAATATTAGGCAAGACATTCTAAGTGGTGCATAGTCACTCTGTGATAACTTTTGGATTTCCTGGCTTGACTTAGGCTATAGAGAGTGGCATTTCCTTTCTCTGTACTGAAATTTAGGGTCTGCCAACTATGGACTTCCAGTTGCTGGGAGGTTCTAATACTGGTTTTAATGATCTAGAATTGCAGCAACAGAGCAGTACTGGCCGAAGCGGTACTATTGGACTGAGTAGGGCAACAGCAGACCCCGTGGGACCATTTATGTCCCTCATCACCAACATCCAGACCAAAGTGTGTGTTTAAAGTCCTCACTGAGGGCGCCTAGGGCTATGCATGGTTCCCGTGTCCACAGGCTTTGTTTGGAAATGTCAGCACACTATTTTAACCTCTGTCCAATGCAACATCCATTTCCCATACAAACCTGAGGGACCCTTCCTCTGTTGGCATCACATCATGGCCTCTTGGCCTCACAGAGTCATCTCTCTGTTAGAACACATCCTGCACTGGCATGGTTTGAGCCTGTCTCCCATGGGTGCCTGTGTTGGAAGCGTCGTCCCCAGTATGGTAGTGTTGAGAAGTGGAGGCACCTCTAGAAGCAAAGGCCTTGTGGCAGGTCCTGAAGTTCTCAGGCCAAGGGATCAGCATAGCTCTTCTGGGACCCTGGAGAGCTGTAAAGAATGCCGGCTGCTCTTCTCTCTGGCCTCATGCCTCGCTGTGTGATCTCTATTGGTCATACACGTTGCCCCCAAGATGTTCTCTGCCATGATGTGACAGTTGGGGTGACAGAGCTTGCACCATACCGTTTAGACTTGGAGTCTCTAAAACCATGACCTAAACATACCCTTTTTCTTTATAAGTTACCCAGCCTGAGGTGTTTTGTTAGGATAATGGGAAATGGACTAATACATGCAATACCCTGGACTCAACTAATTCCACATCCTAATTATATTCATTTAGAGACATGGGTAGCCCCTCCTTTTTATGTACCCTGCACAGATGGTGCAGATTTTACTATCTTTTAGTGGGGATTATTTTTGCATGATGTTTCATGTGCTTTTTAGCATATTAAACTCAGTGCAGTAGCCAAGCCTGATCTTTCACTGCTCTTCAGGGTTAGTACAGGGACATGTAGTTTTGGAAGAATTCCTTTACAAAGATATATTTTCTTCATGTGGTATCGGAGTAAGTCAGTACTTCCTATTTATCATAACAAGTTACTA